ACTTCTTGTTAGATTATAAACTCTCAAGCAACCATGCTGTATCTTTCAGTTTCTGCATAAGACAGCCAGTACATAGGTCATTAACATAGCTCGGATTTATTAATGGTCTTTGAATTAATTAGTTAACGCACCTGGGCTAGAATCTCTAAGCATGCAAATAGGGCTATACCTGTGGCCCTACACCTGGGCCTTGATACCTGTGTGATAGCTGATTTAATGTTTCACTCAATCCTTTGCAGTCATTTTATATGAATAATTTAGTTTCTTGCAGATCCCTGCATGGAACTATCTCTTAGAAAAAATTTAGATCCTGGAGAACCAAAAAAAAACCTAACCAAACACATTGCCATCAAGTTAACTTCAATTCATAGTGACCCTATAGGGCAGAATAGAACTGCCCCCATAGAGTTTCCAAGGAGCAGCTGGTAGATTTGAACTATTGACCTTTTGGTTAGCAGCTATAGCTCTTAACCACTACACCATCAGGGTTCCAGACTCTGGAGGGAAGGAGTAAAAGCCTACAAGTACATAAAGCTACTAGGGAAGAGGAGAAACAAGAATGTTAAATCATTGTGACTTGGAGGAATGGATCTTTGTTCTTCTCTTAGACACTTTTGTAGCCATCCTGTTGCAGGTGTTGACTGCTTCAGGTTAAGAGGCTGTCAGCAATGCTTTCCTGTCCTGCACCCAGGCCTTTGATTATGAGAATCAAAGATGGTTACACTTGGGAGGGATCTAAGAAACATATGATGCCAACCCACTTATTTAACCAGTGAGGGAACTGGTGGCCAGAGTTTAAAGGACTTGCCCAAGTCCATAGAACTAGTTTAGTGGCAGCAATGTGGTTGTTGAGTATTCAGTCTACTACCCTAGTGATGATACTATTGTGCTTCAACCAAAAAGGCAGAAGAGATTTGTCCAGTGACGTATACATGAGGTTTTCATTAATGACATCTCTTATGTTAGCAACACTGGGGACTATAATCCAGAGCCATTTATATTTGTCTGTCTGTGTGCAAAATTTCAAAGTGTGGATATGTTTTCTTTTTCAGACCCAGGCATATTATTCAAAGACATTCAAAAGTGCATCAGTACACTTTTAAATTGAGAATCTCGAATCATAGGGTGTCAGACTTATCCCAAAATCCTAGCCAGAGTTAATTTCTTATCATACGAAGTTAAGTTACACTATTCACACAGCTCTATGTTAATTCAATTAAACAAACAAAAATTCACCGGACAATGTTGCTGGTTGGTCCTTGGACCATTTACCATTTCTTTTCTGGCTTCTCCACTTTTTGTCTCTCCTTTCATTTACATAAATGATGAAATACAGATAAAGTAAATTTGACTTTCCAATCAATAACACTTATCTTGCGAAAAGAAAACATTTTTAGAAAAGAGAAGAAAGGCACTTTGTAACGTGTACAGATCTGTCTCTTTCTTGTTTACTCTTAGGAGATGGGAAAGTTACAAAGGCAGGGCCAAGTCTTTCTGCAAGTGAGGGGCATGGTGGGCAGCTTCCTGAAAGAGACAGCAAATTTTCTGCCTAGAACTTGGGAGCCTCTGGTTGCTCAACTTGTATGAGTTGGGTCAGCTGGGTCACCACAGGACAAGAAGTCAAACTGCCTTGAACCTGTACAGGTGGTAAGGGATTGACCCCCTTTGGACCAAACCAGTTAAAGCACAGTCCTTAGCACATAATTTCCTACCAGGGGGTTGGTCTTAGGCACTTAGGAGAATGTAGAGTCTGTTAAATGTCAATGATGCTGCTGATAATAACTTGTGCTCATATCAGGGTGCCTCATCCCCACCCATTTGTTAAAAAGGACCAGGCAGCATCTTGCAGTTTGGGTCATAAGCTTCCATAAAGTAACCACTGGCTATAGCTAGTCTCCATATGCTTTGTAATTTGAATACTCAGGTATTTGTTTATAAGAACATGACTTTTTTCTAACTCAGAGTAGAAGGCTGTCAACTGTGAAATGGTCCACGAAGAGAGAAAAAAAATATCAGAAGCAGCAGACAGATAAAAGAAAAGAGATTAGGGGCTGATGGGCTCAGCAAGGAATGAACATGGAGTGATTCAGCAAAAGATAATTAAAAAAAAAAAGATCCTCATTCAATAGGCCTCTTTTCTATGTCATGCCTCGTCCCTCTATGCATATTTGCATATATACTTGGAATATGTATCTGCACCTATATAATTTATAAAATGCATATGCAATATGTTAAGACCTGCTAGAACTAATGATTTAAAAGCTGAAGTATAATGAGCTGAAGACTGTTTTCCCATGATGAAGAGCAATCATTTGTTAGCTTAATGAAAATACAAGAGATTGGGCAGACTCATCTTTGGTGGAAAATATTCACTGAGTCATGGAATCAAGGAGTTGGAGCTTAAAAGGGCTTTAAAGATCATTTAATCAAATACTTCCATTATACAGATGAGGAAACTGAGGCCAAGACAGGGAATTAATCTGTCCATGGAAAGAAACACAGGGCTAGAACCCAGGTCACTTGAACCCCATTCTGAGTCCTCCCATTTGACCAGCTATATGACTGATAAAAAATATGCTAGACCATGAAAAAAATTCAATTCAAATAAATGCTACTAATTGACCATAGAATTATAGTCTTGATTTTACTTAATAAGTAGCTCATTTTTTTTTGGAGGGGTTAGGGATATTAGTTCAAGCCATAACATATTTTTTCATATATGCCAAATTATATGTCAAAAATAGGTTATTTTTAAGTTGTCAAACTATCAGAGTAATTGATACACATCTTGGAGAAGAATGGGCTAGATTGGGAAAGGTTTAGTCAGTATTGGCTTTAAACGTATATGGTCTTTGGTCAATGCCGCTCAAGGTGAAAAAAATTCCTGGGCCCTTTTAGAAGTTGTGTATACTTTTGCCAGTCTTTCTACAACTATGTGAGTCTTAAATCACTAATAGTGGGTTTTTTTGTGTGTGTTAATTACACTTGCTCTTTGAGCCATTGTTGTTCTGAGCACTATAAAGTTATAAACTACAGGTCAAACAGACTTGATCTGTACTATCTAAGACAGGATGGTTTCCATGCACTAAAATACTCTTTAGTGGAAATGGTCATCAAGGGCAACGTGTCTCAAACTTTACTGTGCATCGAATCATCTGGGGCTCTTAGTAAAATGCAGATTTTGATTCTATAGGTCTGGGAAAGGGCCTGAGATTCTGCATTTCTAACCAGTGACCAATGGATGCTGATGCTGCTGGTCCTCAGATCACTTTGCGTGGGGATTGAATGAGCTTGAACAACTTTCCCAAATTCTTCCTTCACTCCTAGGATGCTGTTCAGATATTGGGAAAAGAGAGCCTCAGATCTATTACTTTAGCAATTCTGGAAGCACTGGCAACGTGTTCACTTTCCAACATCAGGGCACCTCTGAGTCCAATTCTATCAACACAGTCTTTTTGAAATGGAACATGTAACTCACAGAGGTGAGCTCCTGTTCTCTATGTCCAGCTCGTGAAGACAAATGGAGCAATGAGATCTGGGCTTATGCAGGGCCTGCACCATCAGGTTAAATGAAAACTAAAGGAAGGCTGGCCAAGGAGCAGAGGAGTCACAGATGTGCCTTTTTAAATGGAGGTTCAGATTTTTGACCCCAATCAGGGTGCCTGCTCTTGTGGAGACTCTCATTGCCATACCCTGGCGTTTGGAGCTGTTTCCACCTCTTCACAGATGCCTAGTTTCCTAGGACTTTTATTTGGACGCTTCTGACCTGAGCATCCTCTCCTTCTCTGCCAAGATTTTGCAAATGGATCTACTCCAGAGAGATAACTAACTTCTGCCTTTGCTTTAAATGTCTTTGCTGCCCAAGACTGCTCAAAAAAACAAAAGACAAAACAAAAACCCCTCTCTGAAACAGCGTGCTAGAGGTCAACACTCTCATTTTCCATGTTAGCTTTATGAAGATTCACCCACAGAAGAGCAAAAGCCCCAGAGTGGCCCTAAACTCACAGGAGAAGTAATTTCTGGTCTGTGGAGAGTCCTAAAACCGTAGGTTGGTGGTGGTGGTTGTTGTCATTTAAAATATCTTAGAGTTGAAAAAAAACTTAAACTATACAATACTGTGTTGGAAATTGAGTTTTGTCATCCAATTCATATTCTTCAGTGGGTTTTGTGTTAGTATGGCATTTTACTTCACAAACAGGGACTGCATACACTACTACGTACTATAAATACTCATTATAACTTCATAGCAGAAAATACTGTACCCACTGAATATGTAAACAGCTGTACTGGGAAGATAGAAAATAGCCTTTTATTTTACCTAAGTGATAGAAAAATAGTCTTCAAAAATACATTGTTAAACTTTTGGGTTTGTATTAAAGTAGAATTTGTATGTACAGTAAGGCAGTTTTCCCATGAGCATCCTGCTGTGATTATCTTTTAAATTAAAATTAGTCTTTTGGGATTTTATTTTTTCCACTAAGAGAAGACTAGGGTGTATAATAAGTTATCTATCATGCTGAAATGAAGCAGGAAAACATTTTAGACAGATTTACCACATGAAATTCATTTGCTTCTTCTGTAAGAAAATTTTATTTTCCAAACTATGTTCTCTAGAGGCTTTAGAATGAAATAGAATTTAGAAGAAAAATATCCATGCTCAGCATATTCAAACTATTTTATGAAAAAATTAGAGGCATGGTTTTTACTTGCATATCTGCAGCAGTAAGGTATGGGAACATGTAAACAATTTGTCTGGTGTTCTGGAATGTGTTCTTTCTTTAAGTGTGTAGTGTTTGGTTAATGCTAACCATTTCAGGATTAATAAAATGAAAGGGAAGTACACAGGTTAAGCAACTGGTTTCCAAAAGCGGTTTTCATGGCATTTTCTCCATAACTTTCATCTTCCTGTGGTAAACAATTTTGTCTATTTTATTTCTTTCTGTCACATACCAAACAATGAGAACCTTTTCCAAAGGGATATACCTATTGGCACTGGCCCTCATGGATGCTAAGCAATGTGCTTTTATTTCATTGATCACAAACTTTATAACTAATAGCAAAAAAGAAAATCTACAAATCACAGTTAGGAAACAAAACGCTTTGTTCTGGAATCAGCTGTTGGAGGAAAGGGAACTGGCTGAAGACGGAGCACGTGGAAAGGAGTGAACAGCAAGTGAGTTTTAGTGGTGTCATTCTAACCACGCTTTTGCATATTCTCTACCAGATTGCATTTCATTAACTCTGTGGTGTTACCTGAAGAAAAATCACACTGTAACCGATCATTCCATGAGTCCAGCTATCAGTTAAAAGAGTGCGTAAAGCAGGTGGGATCCAGGTAATCCACACCCCCCATCTGGAGTCTGCAGTTGTCTGGTGTCGCAGTGAAGCAGGCCAGGTTTTCCTCTGCTTGGTTCTGTCGAAGTGATGGAAGAGCTTCCTTGACTGGTTCTTCCAACAAAACCCTGTTTTGAGCTCGGGGGTCTTGCACTAAGACTAAGATGTTGTTATCCATCACCCTGGACACCTTAGCATACTCCTTACTGGTTTCTGGAGTATCAGGCTTCTCTCTTTTGTTGCTATTCTCTTTCTGCTTTGGTAGCAACGCTAGTGCTCCATCTTTGTTGACCTTGTGAATCTCCACATAATCCATGGGTTTAGCAGCGAGAAAAGGGGTTTTCTGCTGGGGCAGCAGCCATGCTGTTTCTTGGTCAGTCTTGGAAGGGAAGCTTTCCACCTCCCTTGGCTTGTCTGTCTTTTCCTCCTCTTCAGTCTCAATGGTTTTAGAAGCTTCTACAACATCCTTTTCTGTTTTATCTAACAAAGTGGTAGCTGCACTCACAGGGCCTAGAGCCAGCTTACACACATCTGCAGTGCTGTGGTAAGAAGAGAGCGGGTTGTGGTGACATGGCTGAGGTAAAGGCCATGTTGAAGATTTGGATCCGCCAGCATGAAAATAGGATATTTTACTTTCCAAGTGAATGTCCTGGGGGTCCCAGGTGCAGGTAATATTTACTTCAGGATTCTCTGGCTTCTCAGTGACCTTGGGAGTGTGGAATGTGGGGGGATTTGCTCGGGATTCCTCATACTTTTCAGACAGAAGGGAAGGGCTGTCACAGCTGCCCCGGCCAGAGTCATTGTCAGGATCCAGGTGAGTGGGTTTCAGGCCTTGACTTGGGTGTTCTTTTGAGTGGGCTGGCATTAGCCGCTGGTCCTCACTGTCGTCCACTTCTAAAAACTCCACCAGCAAGTCTTCACAATCCGAAGTGGGAGGAAAGTCTTGGCATCCCAGGGCACTCAGGAGTTCTTCAGACTTGCCCTTCTATTAAAACACAAACACAAGGAGAGACAGTTGTTAGCTTCATACCAAATCAGCATCCTAGCAGAGCCATATCTGGTCTGCTTGTTACCATGGGCAGTTGGGATGTGGTAACAGCCTAGCAGAATCCCCAAACTTCAGACATTTATGTACCAGACCACCTATAATCACCTCATGGAGACCTGGCAATCTCTTCCCATAAAGACTACAGCCTAGGAAACCCTATGGGGCATTTCTACTTTGTCACACGGGGTTGCTATGAATTGGAATTGACTTGATGGCACCCAACAACACTTTCAAAAAATCAACTCATGATTTTAACCTAGTCTGTAAACAATAATAATCATGAGTTTAATGTGCAAATATTAACCACACATTTAAATAAACATGTAACTATTGCATACATAAGTAAACATTTGTGAAACATCTAAAACCATTGTGCCCATGAATGCATTCAGCATTTTGGGATCACAGGTAGAGTGTCTCTGAAGTCTGGCTGCTGGCTTCCTAACCTTTCTAGAATTTGGCAATAGTAAGTTGATTCTTGTCTCTTTCTTCTCCTGCTATTTCTTTCTCCTCCTCTCCCTTCTCCTCTTCCTTTTCCTTCTCCCTTTCTTTCCCTTCTCCTCCTTTCTCTTCCTATCCCACTTCTCCTCTCCTTCTACTCCATTTAATCTCTCTCCTCTTTCTCTTCTTTCCTACCCTCTTCCTTCCCCTCTCTTCTTTCTATCCTATATATTCTCCCTTTCCTCCTATTCCTCTACTTCCTTCTTCTCCTCTCTATCTTCCATCTCTCCCTCCTTCTTCCTCTTGTACCTTCTCTTACTTCCCCTTCTTCTTCCTGTTCCTCTGACTTAGGTCACAGACCTATGACAAAATCTTGGCTTTGTCACTTATTAGGTATATGACTTTTGACAAGTTTCTCTCTGAACCTCAGTTTCTTCATTTGTAAAATGGGGATAATAGTACCCATCTGGCAGGGTTCTTTTGAAGATTAGAGGCATGTGTTATGGATTGGGAGGCCCTGGGTGTTGCAAACAATTAATGTGCTCGGCTGCTAACCGACAGGTTGGAGGTTTGAGTCTACCCAGAAGCACCTTGGAAGAAAGACCTGGTGATCTTCTGAAAAATCAGCCATTGAAAACTTATAGAGCACACTTCTACTCTTACACACAGGGGTCACCATAAGTTGGAACTGACTTGAAGGCAACTGGTTTTTTGGTTATGGATTGAATTGTGCCCCTCCAAAATATGTATTGAAATACTAACTCCTGTACCTGTAAATATGACACTGTTTGGAAATAGGGGTTTTCCTTTATTATGTTAATGAGGGCATACCAGAGTACTGTGGCTCCTATACCTAATCACTTCTGAGTTATAAAAAGAGCAGAATACGCACAGGGGGAAGACAGACACAAAGTATGCCAAGGAATGTCAAGATCCTCATGGGGCTAGTGACAAGGAGGGACCTCCCCCTACAGCCATGCCCTAAATTTGGACTTTTATCTCACAAACTGCAAGAAAATAAATTCCTGTTCTTTAAAGCCACCCACTTGTGGTATTTTTGTTACAGCAGCACTAAGGAACTAAGACATAATATAATTAAGAATACTAAAACTTTTTTTGGACTCAAAAAGCAGTTATTTTATCCTTCATTGTCTGTAGCTAGAAGATCAAGTTGTAAGCTAGGCAATAGTTAACTTAGCTGAGATGTTCACGCTGGTATATAAAGGCCAATGCTAGGACTGGGCAGTTGGGTAAGAGCACTGGATCAGGAACCCTAATGCCTGGGCTCTACAATTTGCTCTAATATTTGCAACCTGACTGAACTCAGACCAGACACATCCTCTGGGGCTCACTTCTCACATTCCTCACAGCACCTGCGTCAAGTGAGACAATGTATGGGTAATTGCTTTTATAGACATCAGTGTTAGGTTAAAACCATTTATTTCAACATGGAGAGGAATAAAAATATTCTAACCCCTCTTTTCACTTAAAACACTTACATTTAATTCCCTCTTGAATCAATCTAAATGATCTCTGGCAAACACTAGTCCTCAACTCATCGATCCAATCTCAACTGTGTGGTCAAACAGAGCAATGATTATAGTTGGATAGTCTGTTACTATGGCCTTTAAAGAGCATTCACGTGGAAACTTTTACCAATTTATGATGGAGATAGTGGTGGTGGGTCCCTGCTTTGTATTCATATAAAATATCCATCCTCTACCTAAACTGGTTATTTGTACAAATATTTCTCTCTGTGCTTATGGGCAAACCTAACGAATCTAGCAAATGTCTATGTGTTTTCATGTTTCTTTGGCTTTCTTACTTTGCCCTCCGACAGTTCATGTCTGATAATTTGTACCTTCATCCCTCTGGCTCTTCATGCACTTTGGAAGTACTCACCTTTTCCTCTTCCTCATTCCACTGACTACATGCACATCGGCATGCATGAACACAATGTATGTGCACACACACACATACACAGCAGCCAGTGCCACAGCAGAAACAGAAACAGTGCATCCACGTCACTTAGTCACACATCTTTCTGTTCACACACTTGCTAAAGAGAAAGGGCAGCTGGGGAAGGATGAATGAGATGGCCAGGCTGAATTGGCAGGGATTGTGGGTCATGTGCTAAGTTAATAGTTACAAAGCAGAGAGTCCCACTATAGCCTCCTCTGGCACTTACCTCCAGCAGATGAGTATCAAATCCTTTTATTTTTGGCCCAGGAACTGGTGGAAAGATGCAGGTCACCATGCTATAAAACAATGCATGATATTAGATATAAATGACAAATCTTCCCCTTTGTAATTTTCAAAAGATTAGTATTACCCCCCAAATATCTGCTACTTGGGCTAAGGTGGTTAGGGGTAAGGCATTCTGGGGCTATCTGAAATGAACAATCAATGGGGAAGATGATAATTACAGAGGCTTATAGAAAGTCCCTGGGTGGCACAAATGGTTAAGCGCTTGACTGCTAGCTTAAAGGTTGGTGGTTCAAACCCACCCAGAGGTACCTTGGAAGACAGACCTGGTGATCTGCTTCCAAAAAGTCATAGATTTGAAAGATCTATTGAGTAGTTCTACTCTACACATAGGGTCACCATGAATTAGAATCAAATTGATGGTAACTAACCACAACATAGAAAAATGATCTTTGGCTAATTTAGGAAGCTGATTCTGAACTTAGTGGATTAGTTAGACTATTTGCTTTCTTTGGTTTTAACTGGTGTTGCCAGATTTTTACTTTTTCACAACTGTGGGCCTCCATTTGACAGACAGACTACCAGCCTCAAACAAGTCCATTTTTCTGCTTTTGTTAGCACTGATAAAAGATTTTATGGATGAACATGCTGTGACTAATGGCTAAAAGGAGGTGCTTGGATTCTCTATAGGTTTTCATCATCTTTGTATTATCTTTTTGACCATTATCCCTGACAATCATGATTTTGAGGGGGACTGAGAGATGTTACTGTACCTGTATCCTTTCAGAGCCAATGCCCAGACTATAATCAAACAAACGATGGCGGAAAGAATGGCCACAGAGATCCACATGATTGTATCTTTCATGGTGAAGTCTGCAAAACAAGCAGCCAGAACACTTTGATCACATGCAGTGTCATTAAAAACAAATAAACACAATAAATGAAACTTTTGAACTCAAGAGTTTTTCCCCATACCTATACATCTTTTCATTTGAGCAGCAATCCAACTAATACTAATAAAGGATTATTTCTCAATAGTACTAATATTTTAATATGTTTTAAATATTTTATTATATACATTTCAAAATCCTTTCACATATTATTTGATTTGATCCTTAAAGGGGGAACTCAAAATCACAGTCAGTTGCAGTAATAATAATTAAAGCTAACATTTATTGAGTTCTTACTAAGAGCCAGAAATAGTGTTATGCTCTTTACATATATTGTCTTATTTTACAGATGAAGAAATGGAGACTCAAAGAGTGACTTGCTCATGGTCATGTAACTATAGCATTGCAGTCTGGGATTTGAACCCAGGAAGTCCCTCTAGGGGCCCTGGTGGTGCAAGGTTAAGTGCTTGTATGCTAACTAAAAGGTCAGTGGTTTGAATTCACCCAATAGCTCTGTGGGGGAAAAGACCTGGTGATCTGCTCCTGTAAACATTATAGCCCAGGAACCCTATGGGACAGTTCTACTCTGTCATATAGGGTCGCTATGAGTTGGAATCGACTCAACAGCACACAACAACAACAACAGTCTGCCCCTAGACCCTGTTCTTTTATTTAGTAAGAGCCAGAGCTGGATAGATGCATGTGTAAGTCTTATGATGCATAGTTCCATGTTCTTTCCTGTACGCCGAGCCAATGAATGCACTGGTACTTAGTCCGGGAAAGTTGTGTGAAGAGCTAGGCTTTGCCATGTGGTTCTGGGTAAGACTCCTAACTTTGTTCAGTTTCAGTTTCCTTGCTTTTAATTTCTAATGGTAATTATATTCCCTCTGAACATCTGAGATGGTTGAGGGGGACCAAACGAGGACTTTGTAAACTGCAAAGTTCTATAGAAATGCAAGATGAATGATCACTCCCCTATGTAATGCAAGTCAGCATATTTAACGGAACTAGCCTAAAGTTTTGTTAGGATGAAGTGCTTAATATATGCTATGTCTTGACCAAGAGACCGTCATGTCATTGCTATGAGAGACTGAAAATTAGTTGATGCCTTTGAGAAGGGATACCACCTAATACATTCTGGAAGAATCAGATAATGACCTTAGCTGGACCCTCCCAGTGATAGTGGGGAAGATGGATGAGCCGAATGTAAGTGGCCATCAAGACTTTGAGACATGCCAAGTCCAGGTCTGTAGCCTTATCCTGGAAACTGGTATTCACAGCCAATGATCCAGGGAGCAATGCTACCCTTCCAAATCTCTTTGTATTGGGTGAGGAGATGATAAACCCATTTCTGCTTATTCTTCTGGTTAAGGCTCAAAATAGTTTCCCCATTAGTAGGTACTATGTGCAAATTTGGTAACTACATTCTGTTGTAAAAATATTTAGGAGGATAAACAAAATCCAGTCAAGACACTCACCACTAGGTATCTGAATGGAACTCTCTGGGCTCCACTCACTCCAGAATCCATGGTCTGGCTTGCAGCGAACCTGGACAAGGTATTTCTGCCCTGGATATAAGCTGAGGACGTTAAACTGAGTCTGTTGCCCAGCAAAATGGGTCTAAGGAGGAACATGGAAAACAGATGTTACTTCTAATTTTAGGTATGAAGACAAGAGACTTTTTTCCTTAATAGTAAAGTATTAGAGGAGTTAGGCTGATGAACCAGACTTAGCAGATACTCTGTTCTCATCATTCCACCCTCTCAACCCCATCTGTTTCTCCCCTTTAAAACTGTGCACACAAAAATTTAACAGGTTTTCTCTCTTTCCATTTGGAACTCTATTTCAGATAGACAAATATCTCCCCAAAATAAAAATAATAAAATTAGAAAATTGTTATATTGGAAACCTTAATGAAATAACTGATTCAAGGATTATTAATTGATGTTAAAACCACTAGGTGGAAGAGAACTGGGCATCCATGTATGCTGAAGTCATACTACAAGATTAAGCAACACTGTACAATCGGATCGAGCTGTCACCTCCCCCATCCAACAGTTAGTTTTAGCATAGTCATCAGATACTGAGTCTCCTGATTAGATGCAAGATGAAGTACATAGTATCACCTCTGAAGTATTCTTGCCCCAAATTACTCAACCTGAATCTCACCAGTAACAGGAAATACAGGGGGTAGCAAAATTAGCTAAATGATACCACAAAAAACTAATGAGATAAATCCAGAAGGTGGAACAATCTATGAGACAACGGCCCAGTTTTCTGAGTTCGTTGAGATAGAAGAAATATAACAATGTGCCACAGTGTGTGATCCTGGAGTGGATTCTGGTTTGGACAAACTAGCAGTAAAAGATATTTTTGAAGTAATTGGGGGAGTTAGAATATGGACTGGCTATTAGACGATATTAAGGAATTATAATTATTTTTCCTTACATGTGATATTATTTGGCTATGTTAGAAAATCTTTTTTTTTTAAAAAAGATGTATACTAAAGTACTTAAGGGCAGAATTTCATAATGCGTGTAATTTACTATGTTATTTATGTTGAACTGTTTTAAAAACACAGCCATTGACCATGGACAGGTACACATAAATATTTTTTTCCCCTACCTAATGTTGGTGCCGTGGTTAAGAGCTGAGGTTGCTAACCAAAAGATCAGCAATGCTAATCCACCTGCTGCTCCTGGGAAACCCTGTGGGGCAGTTCTACTCTGTCCTATAGGGTCACTATGAGTGGGAATTGACTCAAAGGCAATGGATTTGGTTTTGATTTGGAATGTCATTTAAGTACTCTCGTAAGTGTCTAGATCTAAGATATGCTGAGGGAGGCAAGTTGGGGACCTAGTGGAAGAGACTACACAGTGCAAGAAACTAGCCCTAGGAAAGCTGCAATGAGCACCTCCATCAATCCCACCAGAGGAGAGAAGGCACTACCACACCTGAGTGAATCACATCAGCACTGGGAAGCCAACATGGCGGCCCAAGACTTAGGAGGAATGATCTGTTCTCAGTTGTGAAGGTCCACCCCTGCCAAAGAACATGCTTCCTTCCAAAGTTTCTGGTTAACTCACCTCCCACTCGGCTGCTTTCTCAGGTTTTAATCGAATTTCGTACTGGAGTGTGAGCCAACCGGAGCTTACATCAACCAGTGTGGGTGGAAGCCATTTTATCCATAGATATGGTTTTCTGTCTTCTGGTTGTTTTACTTCTAAAGTCAGGTTCACAGGAGGGTCTGGTTCAACTGCAGATATGAAAGAAACTCCAGTAGCATTCATTGTTTGTGACCTTTATTTGGTCTTTACCATTTTCTATCACAAATTGCACTTTGTATGTATCAACCCACTTTTCCCATCTGCATTATAAGCCCCTGAAAGACAAGGGCCCTGTCTTCTGCCTCTAAGTATGTGATCAATCATGTTTGTGCTTAAAGATGAGGTTTGAATGGTAAGAATAATTAGTGGCTGAGATTTCATTCTTCACTTGTTCTCCACCACTTTGCAGTTTTGGGTCGCTAGGATCAGATAGCTACCCAAATAATCTTCACGATGACACGGACCAGGTGATACAAATTAGGCTAGGATTTGAAAATGAAGGTTGGGCAGGAGAGGAATATTACAGGACAGGGATTTCAAATAGCTTACTTCCCTCAGCTGGGAGCAAGTTTCTCATTGGTGGCACACACATTGTTTTTGTGAAAGATCTATTCATATTTATAACTTTGAAGATAACAGGTTTACAGATTCCATCTGCTTTGCTTCAGCAATTACATTTTACATTCAGTATACATATTACTGCCTCTGCTAAGTGGAATCCATTCTCTCAGATATTAAATTATTAAAGTGTGCCGAGAGGTCTGGAGTTTTGGTAATGATGCTTTCAGTGACCTCACAACAGCCTGTTGACCCATTCATTCATTCAACAAATTTTTACTGAATTCCTACTAGAAAAATGATAGCTACCATTTTTTGAGTGCTTACTATATGTCAGCCACTGTGTATAAATCAGGAAGTATGGGGTAACCTTGGAGCTAGTTAGCAACTCCCTAGACATAGACTGAGTTCAGTCTGGGACAAGCCATAATTTGTCCTGTTGTTATTAGGTGCCATCGAATCGGCTCTGTCTCATAGCAACCCTATGTACAACAGAACAAAACACTGCCCGGTCCTGCACCATTCTCACAATCATTGCTATGTTTGAGCCCATTGTTACAACCACTGTGTCAGTCTATCTTGTTGAGGGTCTTCCTCTTTTTCAATAACCCTCTTATTTACCAAGCTTGATGTCCTTCTCCAGGGACTGGTCCTTCCTGATAACATGTCCAAACTATGTGAGACACAGTTTGCCATCCTCACTTCTAAGGAGCATTCTGGCATGCTTCTTCCGAGACAGATTTGTTTGTTCTTCTGGCAGTCCATGGCATATTCAATATTCTTCTCCAACACCATAATTCAAAGGCATCAATTCTTCTTCAGTCTTACTTATTCATTGTCCAGCTTTCACATGCATATGATGTGATTGAAAACACCATCGCTTGGGTTGGGTGTACCTTAGTCTTCAAGTAACATCTTTGCTTTTTTAACACTTTAAAGAGGTCTTTGGCAGCAGATTTGCTCACTGCAATGCATTGTTTGATTTTGTGACTGATGCTTCCATGGGTGTTGATTGTGGATCCAAGTAAAATGAAATCCTTGATAACGTCAATGTTTGCTCTGTTAATCATGATGTTACTTACTGGTCCAGTTGGGAGGATTTTTGTTTTCTTTATGCTGCGGTGTAATCCATACTGAAGGTGGTGATCTTTGATCTTCATTGTAAGTGCTTCAAGCCCTCTTCACTTTAAGCAAGCAAGGTTGTGTCATCAGCATATCGCAGGTTTTTAATGAGTCTTTCTCCAATCCTGATGCCACATTTTTCTTCACATAGTCTGGCTTCTTAGACTATTTGCTCAGCATACAGATTGAACAAGTATGGTGAAAGGATACAACCCTGACAAACATCTTTCCTGGTTTTAAACCATACAATATCACCTTGTTCTGTTCAAACAGATGCCTCTTGGTCTATGTACAGGTTCTGCATGAGCACAGTTATGTGTTCTGGAATGCCTATTCTTCACAATGTTATCCATAATTTGTTATGATCCACACAGTCAAATGCCTTTTATAGTCAATAGAACACGAGTAAACATCTTTTCTGGTATTCTCTGCTTTCAGCCAAGATCCATTTGACACCAGCAATGATATCCCTTTTTCCACATCTTCTTCTGAATCTGGCTTGAATTTCTGGCTGTTCCCTGTTGATGTACTGCTGCGAGAGTTTTTGAATTATCTTCAGTAAAATTTTCCTTGCGTGTGATATTAATGATATTGTTTGATAATTTCCGCACTCTGTTGGATCACTTTTCTTTGGAATGGGCACAAATATGGATTTCTTCCAGTTGGTTGTCCAGGTAGCTGTCTTCCAAATTTCTTGGCATAGATGAGTAAGCTTTTCCAGTATTGCATCCATTTGTTGAAACATCTCAATTGGTATTCTGTCAATTACTGGACCCTTGTTTTTCACCAATGCCTTCAGTGCAGCTTGGACTTCTTCCTTCAGTACCATCCGTTCTTAATCATATACTATCTCCTGAAATGGCTGAACGTTGACCAATTCTTTTTGATACAGTGACTTTGTGTAGTCCTTCCATCGTTTTTTGTTGCTTCCTGCATCATCAAATATTTTGCCCATAGAACCCTTCAATATTGCAACTTGAGGCTTGAATTTTTTCTTCTGCTCTTTCAGCTTGAGAAAGGCTGAGCGTGTTCTTCCCTTTTGTTTTTCTAACTCCAGGCCCTTGCACATTTCATTATAATACTTCACTTTGTCTTCTCTACTGGCCTTTGAAATAATTTGTTCAGCTGTTTTACTTCATCATTTCTTTTGTTTGCTTTAGTTATTCTACCTTCAGGAACAAGTTTCAGAGTCTCTTCTGATATTCATTTTGGTCTTTACTTTCTTTCCCTTCTTTTTAATGACCTTTTGCTTTCTTCATGTATGATATCTTTAATGTCATCCCACAACTTGTCTGGTCTTAGGTCATTAGTGTTCAATGTGTCAGATGTGTTCTTGAGATGTCTCCAAATTCAGGTACGATATACTGAAGTTGTACTTTGGCTCTTGTGGACTTGTTTTAATTCTCTTCAGCTTCAACTTGAACTTGCATATGAGCAATTGATAGTCTGTTGCACAGTTGGCCCTGGCCTTATTCTGACTGATGATATCGAGCTTCTCCATTGTCTCTTTTTGCAGAGGTAGTCAGTTTGATTCCTGTTTATTCCATCCGGTGAGGTCCATGTGTATAGTTGCCATTTGTGTCGTTGAAAAAAAGGTATTTGCAATGAATAAGTCATTGCTCTTGCAAAATTCTATCATGCAAACTGTGGTGTTGTGTCTATCACCAAGGCCATATTTTTCCAACTATTGACCCTTCTTTGTTTCCAACTTACATATTCCAATCACCAGTAATTATCAATGCATCTTGACTGCATGTTTGATCATTTTCAGAGTGCAAGAGTTGGTAAAAATCTTCAATTCCTTAATCTTTGGCATTAGCAGTTAGTATGTAAATTTGAATAATAATCATATTAACTGGTCTTCTTTGTAGGGGTAAGGATATTATCCTACCACTGACTGCATTGTACTTCAGGATAGATCTTGAAATGTTCTTTTTGATGATGAATGCAACATCATTCCTCTTTGATTTGTCATTCCTGGCATAGTAGACCATATGATTGTCTGATTACAAATGGCCAGTACCAGTTCATTTCAGCTCACTAATGCCTAGATGTCTTAGTTATCTAGGGTTGCTATAACAGAAATGCTACAAGTGGATGGCTTCAACAAACGCAAGTTTATTCTCTCACAGTCTAGTAGGCTAGAAGTCCAAATTTAGGGCACCAGCTCCAGAAGAAGGCTTTCTATCTCTGTTGGCTCTGAAGGGAGGTCCTCGTCATCAATTTTCTCCTGGAATAGGAGCTTCTCCGTGCAGAACCCTAGGTCCAAAGGATGCGCTCTGCTCTCGGCCCTGCTTTCTTTCATGAGGTCCCCTACTCACTTCCCTTCCCTTCCCTTCCCTTTCATCTCTTGTAAGATAAAAGGTGGTGCAGGACACACCCCAGGGAAACTCCCTTTACATTGTATCGGGGATATGACCTTAGTAAGTGTGTTACAATCCCACCCTAATCCTCTTTAACATAATCTAATCTTGCTTCATTAACCATAGGCAAAGATTAGGATTTATAACACATAGGAAAATTACAATCACAAAATGGAGGACAACCACAGAAGTACTGGGAATCATGGCCTTACCAAGTTGACACATATTTTTGGGGGACACAATTCAGTCTATGACAATAGGGTATTGATGTTTATGCTTTCCATTTCATTTCTGATGATTTCCAACTTTCCTAGATTCATACTTCATACATTCCACTTTCTGATTATTAATGGATGTTTGCAGCTGTTTCTTCTCATTTTCAGTCATGCTACATCAGCAAATGAAGGTCCAGAAAGCTTTACTCCATCTGCTTCATTAAGGTTGACTCTACTTTGAGGAGGCAGCTCTTCCACAACCATATTTTGAGTGCCTTCCAACCTGAGGGCCTCATCTTCCAGCACTGTATCAGATAATGTTCTGCTGATATTCATAAGGTTTTCACTGGCCAATTTTTGTCATTCTTGCTAAACTATAAAGTCCACTACAGTCATGCTGAGTTACCCTGCAGCTCAATGTTGGTCATGCAAAGCAAAAAGCATCTCTCAGGTTGTCTTTGTTTTACTTTACTAATGACTTCTGCAGACATTGTCCTTGTGATCTTGGCCTCCAGCCTGTTGCTCAAGTAGCACTATTTGCTCCTCAATTCTTTGCAAAATAGTAGCTGCAGTTGGAAAGCAGCAACGCTAAATTTGGGGCAAAGCAACTGGAACAACTCCTGTGGGCCCAGAACCAGATGATTCCCTTCTAAAAGCTGCTACTCCGTGGAGCAGCTCTATCTTCCATGAAGAGAAAGAAGAAATTCCAGGTTGCCATGGAAGAAGTGGACATCAATTGTACGGGGAGTGCAGGAGAGAAGGATTGACAAGAGAAGCATAAATAGAACATACCCGCTGGGTGGAAAAGAATGAGGACAAGGGTCAATTAGACACACAGGAAGACAATTATTGCAAGGACCAGCCTTATTGTCATGAATGATGAACTCAATGAAAATTGGCTTAAAATAGTCAGTTGAGGAAAACTTCATCTAAAGTACAATAAAAAAAAAAAAAAAAGGAAAGTCTCTATCATCTTAGAGAATACACATGGTACCAGCAACAGAATGTTGCTAGAAACGTGGACATTAAATGTACTTCTGGTGAGGGTTTAAAAGAAAATGATGGACATGTGATTAGACAATGGAGGAAGGGTGATGCTTTTTATGCAGTGGCAAAGAACTTATCTGAATTATGTCCAAATGTTTGGTGGAAGGTAAAAGTTGTAAGTGATGAACTTGGATATCTGGCCAATGAGATTTCTAAGTAAGATCTTACATGGGCCATGTGGTTTCTTCCTGCCACTTATAGTAAAATGCAAAAGGAAAGAGATGGACTTAAAAATGAACCATGTAAAATGAAAACAAAACTTAAAGATTTGGAAAATTCTATTGTACAAACTAAGGACATGTGTCCTAGAATGTTCAACAAAGATGTGGATACACAATCTTTTGTTAACGAGATTAATCCTGTAACAGATGGCTCTAACCAACTACCACAGCAGAAAACCCATTAGCTTAGATTGAAGGAGAAAGAGAAAGAATAAAAGGAAAGAACACTATCTGCCTCTGTGAATTCTATAGGCAGGAAACAGGCCAAAGGAGCTACATCTGTTGTCCTCCAAGAAAAGAAAAGGCTCATCCCTGGAGCAGCTCGGAGATCAGCAGAACTGTTGAAGGAGTATGGAAAGCAGAGCCTTCTCAATTTCAAAGGGTGGGGACACTATCTCCTGGATTTCAAAGGATGTGGCCACAGCCTCCTAGGTTTCAGAGAGTCAGATCTTTGCCAGTACTCGGTTCCAGAATGTGGGGCTTCCATTAAAGTGTGACGTGGAGATGCAGTTGCTGCCCAAAGCTGAGGGGGCAGGGCTTCCATGCCCATGGGACAGAAGAATGGGACTTGCCAGGGCCAAAGGGGGCGGTTTCACTCAGATGGACTAGGAGAATGGGGCCACCCAAAGCTGAGGGAACAGAGTTGCTATCCTGGTGGGCCTGGAGGGTAGAGCTGAAGCCCAGGGCCGAGGAGGGGCCTCCACCTAGAATTCAGAGGGTGTGGTCAACACCCAGAGTCTATATGGTGGGGTCATTGTACAGATAGTCCCAAAGAACAGAGGATTATTTTCAAGCTTTGAGAGCAAATGTAAATCGTTCTGCTGGGTTTTGGACTTGCTTTGTGCCTGTTATTCCTTCTTTCTCTCCAGTTTCTCCTGTTTGTAATGGAAATGTCTATCTTGTGCCTGTTCCACCATTGTATTTTGCAAGCAGATAACTCATATTCTAGATTTCACAGGGTCACAGATGAAGAGGAATTTTGCCTCAGGATGGAGTATGCCTAATGTCTTTCTCATATTTGATTTAGATGATTCAGAAATGAGATTTTGGACTTGGAGTTGATTAAGACTTTTGGGATGAAGTGATGGGGTGAATGTGTTTTGCATGTGGCAAGGATGTGAATTTTGGGAGGCCAAAGGGTGGAATGTTATGGATTGAACTGTGACCCCCCAAACTATGTGTTGTAAATCCTAACTTCTATGCCTATGGTTATAATCCCATTTGGGAATGGATAGTCTTTGTTATGTTAATGTAACAGGATTAGTGTAAGTCAATCTCTTTTGAGATATAAAAGAGATTAAACAAGCAAGCAAGAGAAGCAGAGATAGGGGAATAGAGAGAGCCACATGAAGATTGCCCAGGAGCAGAAGCTCAGAAGAGACAAGGACCTTCCTCCAGAGCCAACAGAGGGAGAAAGCCTTCTCCTAGAGGTGGCACCCTGAATTCAGACTTCCAGCCTCTTGAACTGTGAGAAAATAAATTTCTTTCTGTTAAAACCAAAAAAAAAAAAAAAAAAAAAAAACAGGGTTGACATTTTGAATATCATAACTTTCTCTTTTTTTTTCCCGAAGAATCCATCCAAAAGCCCAGAAGACTCAAACTGAGTTTGACTACTGGTGAATAAATAATGGAATCACAAATTCCTCATCCACTCCCTTCCCCTTACCTATATAAATCACATCCACGTAATGTGGATCCGAGGAACTGCTTCCCATCTTGTTAGTGGCGTTTATTGTGATGATGTATATTTTCCATATGGAGGTGTGCTTCTTGTTAAAGTAACAGGAGTTGGGGCCACCAGTTTTGTAGTCTGGACATTCATGGGTGATTGTCTCTCTGCAATGAGTTATATATTAAGAGTGAATAAGAAAGTAATACAAAGACCAATATCACTGGCTTTTGGGGATCAAGTACTCTGAATGCAAAAACCAGAGCTGAAAAAGCGCTCCCTAAGCTTTTGTTCACTGCCCCTTCCAGCTGGGAGTGAAAGATGGAAGAGAGTGCTGGAGAAGGAAGCTAGGAAAAGAGACTAGTAGTTTCTAGATGTGAAGGGTTTTTTTAGGGACTAAACTACTCTGCTGCTCACCAGCCCTTCCCTTCTAGAGGTTTTTGTGAGCTTTGTGACATGTGCTCCCTGTCAATAAACACATGAGCTTTCAATGGTCAAGGCACTGCCATACCCAGGGCACCGCTACTGGGTCATCGCCTGAAGTGTGGACTTTCACCTGCGTACACGCATAGTGGGGTAATGCACAATGCAGCATTTACTGCACGTATGTGTTGAATCACATTTCATTGTTAAGAACATAAATAGATCCAAGGTGAGAAAAACTGATGTTGGTTTATTTTAGGGGGCACCAAGTCAGCAAGAGTGAAATTACTCTGATAGGAACAATTTCAGGCCCAAGTGGCTCATTAAGTTTTCCACCTTTAGACTTAGGAGCCTCAACTCAAGACACATCGCACAGGCTTTGAGGCATATTTGATTCTGGTTGCCTGTTGGAGTTCCTGAAACCTGTTTATGTGCCGTGCGTTTGCGTCCCAAGTGGGAGGACAGTTTTGTGTACAACAAAATGTCATCTTTGGCAAGTGGACCAGCTGTCTCCATCAGTAACTAAATGTTTTGTTTACTGGAGAAGGGTGCAGCTTTCCCAGGATTTCCAGGAGGGTCTCATTGTGAGTGCAACAAAATACTCACACATAGATGACCTTGTTTGGCCCTGACAGAAACTTATGTCCAAATATGACCTCCAGGAAATCATGGGTGTTGGATCAACAATTAGCTAAGCAAAAAACATCATCCTTTTTCCTTACTAGGGTTCTTTATTTTCCTGGACATGAAACAAGTTTGAAAAGTTAACATGCCATGGTTGTCAAGGATTACATGGTACTGTTTTAGATAAGGTGCAAGCAGTTAACACGCTTGGCTGCTAACCAAAAAGTTGGAGGTTCAAGTCCACCAGGAGGTTCCTCAGAACAAAGTCCTGGCGATCTACTTCTGAAAGATCACATCCATTGAAAACCCTATAGAGAGCAATACTACTCTGAAACACGTGGAGTTACCATGAGTTGGAATCACCTTGACATCAACTGGTAACTGTATGTCACAAAATTAACACATATACTGAAAAAAAAAGGTGACACAAAGTTTTTGATGAGCATTAATAATTAGCAATTAGGAAATTTTTATATGTAGCCTTGGGCTGCAGCCTATATTTGTGACAGTTATAACATGTAAAACATTGTTATTATTGCATTGCTGCTGTGGCTGATAAGCGTCTACGTATTGAGAAAGTTCCTTAAGGACATAACAGGAGAATGTGGACGTAGACGTCACACTTAGTGGTATGAGCTTTGTTTGTGTAAATCCAGGGACCAAAAAACCAAACCAAATCCGTTGCTGTCGAGTCGATTCTGACTCATAGCGACCCTATAGGACAGAGTAGAACTGCCCCGTAGGGTTTCCAATGAGTGGCTGGTGGATTTGAACTGCTGACCTTTTGGTTAGCAGCTATATCTCTTAACCACTGTGTCACCAGGGCCCCAAATCCAGGGAAAGCATTGGTAATTCCAACTCAGGACCGGCATTATATTCGCCTGGTGTGTGAGAACACTTGTAGAATTTGATAAGAGAGAAGAAAGCTTCTTACCCTTCCTTGTGGTAAGTCAAAGTATAATTGGTAGGAAGTCCTCCCTCTATCCCAGGCTTCCACCAGCACGTGAAAGTTTCCTTTTCGGGAGAACGGCATTTAATGATCTCAGGTTTTCCAGGAGGTGAGTATCCTAGAAAAAGCCAGAAGACACTAGAGTCAATATTAAAATCTGTTTAATCATTTTGCTGGTTATTGAAGTAGATTGATGGGATCCAGGTGAGCGACAAAGCCTTGGGAAGAAGAGGCCTAGGGGTGGGGGACTCAGCAGTGTCAAAGCATCAGCATTCTGCAACACTCCTCTGTGGGCTATCCCAATGTCGGTAGGATTTCCAGAGGTAGAGCTTTGGGATGGTGTGTGTATACGGGAGGGGGTACTTCAAGATGGGGATATCAAATACCTATGTAAGGCACAGTGACTAATTGTAAAATATCAACAATTCAGTGATAAGAAGAGTGAGCATCAAGAGTGAGATGGATATATATGTTTTGAAGAGTATGTGCCCCTCTGCAATCCCAGGGAGTCTATAAAGCTAATACCTGCCCACAGTGTACAGGTGACCATAAAAAGCATTGTTCCCAGGTACAAGCATCTTACAGACAATTAGTCAACACATTGCTCTTTGGCACCTCTGAGCAAGAACTTCCATCTTTCTCCCATTTCCACACAATTCACTCAATCTCTGTTCTTGAACCTTTTTTTTTAAACAGTATCACTGATGCTCCCTTTTTTTGAGACTGTCCTCAGCTGATTTCTTTCTATCTACTCTTATCTCCTCCTTTTCTTCCTTTTCCCTTCACTTTTCCTTGTGTCCATTAACCTCTGACCATATGACCCAGTCTCTTCCCTCTTTTTCCTTGAGTCTTTTTGTGGTGAGGTGCCAAAGGCCTTCTTTGTAATTCTATGGTTCTTTTTGCGGTAGGTGTCATGGTAAGAGGTAGAAGAGTAGATAGCTTCTTTCCTGGTTATTAGGGGCCATGGTGGTACAGTGCTTAAGTGTTCAGCTGCTAATCTAAAGGTCAGCAGTCCAAATCCACCAGCCACTCCTTTGAAAACCTATGGGGCAGTTCTACTTTGTTCTATAAGGTTGCTATGAGTCAGAATTGACTCGACAGCAACAGGTTTTTGGTTTTCGTTTATTATCTAAGAGCTGAAAGCTAGAGGTCTGAATGAGGTGATGTGAAAGGCACAATGTCAAGGGGATAGAATATTTAGTTGCCTAATCCCCAAAGCTCTTGGTGATCTGGTTCCCTCTTCTCTTTCTTGGCTGTCATGGCCAAAGAGGGAATAAGTAACCTTGGAAGTTTGCCCTGATGCTGCTGGGCTGGAGAAGGCAACTACATATGTCTGTACAACCTCTGTTGATGCTCCTTTTGGCCTAGCAGGATGTCCTAGCATTTTGCTCAGGAAGTCAGGAACAGAGAGGAGAGCTTTTTTTTTTTTTTAAATTGTGCTTTAGATGAAGGTTTACAGAGGAAATTAGTTTCTCATTAAACAATTAATGCACATATTGTTTTGTAACATTGGTTGCCAACCCTACGACATGTCAACACTCTCCCCTTCTCGACTTTG